GAACTATATTAGCAGTATCTCACTCATGGTAACTGACATCCAATGTTCCTTCACTGATAATAAATATGTAGCTTCCTTGTTCTTAGATCTGAAAGGTGCATACGAATCAGTTGATCTGAACGTTTTAGTGGAAAAAATGTTAAATTTAGAAATTGGTACAAAGGCAACCACTAGTATTATTGAAATTTTTAGAAACCGATTTTTTTTTATAAAAGATCAAACCAATAATCTACATGGACCTAGATGGATTTGTCAAGGATTACTTCAGGGAGCGATCTTGATCCCCATATTGTTCAACATGTATACATAGGACCTTCACCGTTTATTACATAATAACGTAAAATGTATCTAATATGCTGATGATTTCTGTTTCTATACTGTCCGAGATTCTTATAATCTATGTATAACCGACTTAAAATACACTCTTTATTGCCTAAAGAACTGGTTAAGAGAACACAACTTCGTTATTTCCCCTAAAAAATCAGCCACTGTATTTTTTACCAGGCATCGATTAAACACACCAGACACAATAACCCTATGTGGAATTGATGTTCCTATAAAAAAATGGTATAAATATCTGGGCGTCGTCCTAGATAATAAACTTTTATGGAATAAACATGTAGAGCATATTAAAAGTAAATGCGAAAAGGGAATTAACATGTTAAAATGTGTCTCAAAAACCAAATGGGTTGCTGATCCTAATATCGCACTCCAATTCTATAGGGCATATATTCGGTCTATTATAGATTATGGAAGTATTTTGTATGGTAGTGTAACAGAATGTCATCTGCGTACCATAAATAAAATTCAATATAATGCTGTTAGAATTTGTCTTGGAGCTATGATATCTTCCCCTGTTCAAGCTCTTCTAGTGGAAGCTCAAAAACCACCCTTATACATCAGACGTAACTATCTAGCGTCCAAAGAAATTATAAAACTAAAAAGTTTTTGTTATGTCAGCTCTATTCTAAAGAGTATTCATCATCTAGCAATAGATAATCTTACTTCTAACTATTGTAATTCTAGAAAATGTTCCTTACTAGCGGATTCCTTTATAAAAGAAAAAACGGAACCATGCCACAAACATAATAAATTTCCAATTTACAACCCACATACTTTGATTTTCTTTTACTATACGGAGAATGGTCGCACTGCGCAGCTTTCTGAGTGCCTTTTAAAAGGAGATAAAAAACTCCGCCATTTTAAACCCTTATTACGTGTTGCGTACATCTTGGTGCAATATTTTTAATAGGTGCGTTTTAACCATCCGCTTCTGCTTCGGAATTGTCGGTTTTCTTGTTTTAATCTGACAGGTTAAAACGACTAAACCGACAATTCCGGAAGCAGAAGCGGATGATTAAAACGCTCCTGATGTTTTGCTTGCTGCTGTCAGTGTCAGTAAATATTATTTTTGAAGTCACAGTTTATTGCTAAAGAATCAGTTAGCTCACTCGGACCAGTTGAAAGTTCCAAAATAACATCCACTCCAGGGATACAAATTCAGGATACGCAGAAGACTGCTGTTTTATTATAGGAGGTTGTCATATATTGTATTATCCGAGTTGCACAGTGTATAAACTGAAACATTGAGATCCAAAGTGCCGACGCAGAGTGAGCGATCTGAATCTTTAGCTGTGTCACAGGGTTCAAAATGGCCGCGCCCTATGTTGAGCATGTCGGACCTCTCTCTTGCCTCGTATAGTAATCAAAGTATGTATTATAACCTTAATTTCGACGCTTTGACGTTCAAACCAACCGTGATTATGCCAGAATACAGTGAAAATCATTCACTAAATAAAACACTCCTTCTAGCCACCTTGACTCCTTACAATAACCATCTTCACATTTATACAGATGGATCAAAATCAGTAGGTGGAACTGGTTTAGCATTTTAGGTCTCTGATACCAATCATAATCACTTATTTAAAATTCCTGATCACTGCCGAAATGATGGCTATTGAAAGATCTTTAAAATGGCTTATAGAAATATGAGTCAAAACATGCGATCATATTGTCTGATTCCAAATCTGTTCTTACTGCCTTAAACAATTTAAATTTTTTTAAAATGTATAATTCCATTCACCTTTATAATATAAAAAAATACCTACATATATTGCTAATTTCAAACAAACGTTATTTTTGTGTGGGTTAAAGCCCATTGTGGAATAGTGGGCAACGAAAAATTCGACACTTTAGCAAAAAAAGCAACCTCCTCATTAAATGTACTGAATATCTTACCATTTCACGATTTACTTAATTTAACTAAAACTGAAATGCGTTTTCACTGGGAAAAGCATTGGAAAGATTTTACGATCGCATCCAAGAACCCATACACTTTCATTCACACTACTTTACCGCTCAATTTACCTCATCTGGCAACTTTTAAAGTTTCAAGAAGATATGCAGTTACTATTACTAGACTAAAACTTAATCATGGCAAATTTCCAGCACATCTTCATAAAATTGGTCTTTCTTCAACACCTTACTGCACCTGTGATAATGCATCAATATGTGATTTAAATCACATATTCTTTTCCTGTATTAACTATTCATTACAAATTAATCATCTGTACAACATCTTAGCTTCGAAAAAAATTTTATCCCCAACAAATATTGTTTTACTGTTAAGCACACATAACAAGATCATATTCTATGCTTTGGTTGGATTTCTGAATAATATTGAACTGGAAATTTAAACTTTAAATTTATATTCTAATAAAAGTCTGTGGCAAATGGATTACATCCAATGCCAAACCCTCCCCCCCACACACACTTCTTTATGCTTCTTTCTTTACACAGGTGGCCTAATATTAATCAGTTAATATACTACAGTAATGGTGTAACAAAAATCAATATGATACAAATTTTTCTTACTTTTGCAGGAAAGTGGAAAAGCGAAAAAAATATTATTACTTGAGATAGAAATGGCAATACTCTTTAAATTAATCGAAATTAAAGAACGATCTATGTGTTCATCAAAGAAGTTTTCGTAATAAATAACGCTATACTTTGTAGACTTCCAAACATTGCTGCTCAGAAAATTTTCCAAAATGTTTAAGAGAGCCGGATCTGGAAATCTGCAAAACCTAATTGTATACAAAAATTATTTTGATAGAAGCTACATCATTATTAAAAGATATGTAAAAACATTTTCTTTAACCTTCAATCCAGTTAACAAAGTAATTCTGTTGCATTGATTTATTTTATGATCGAAAAGATCACAAAATATATTGCAGAGAAAAACTTTTTTTTTTTATATGGAAGATACAAACATGTATGTAATATTTAATTTTTACTTTTAAGGGTTACAATTTCCTAGAGTACGGATATGTTTTTTTGTATACAGCTATCGGTGATTTCTTTTAATCTACACCAAATATACTGAAAACAATTAGGTTTTGCTTATTTTAATTATCACTTTTACAGTTTTTAAAGAAAATTTACTAAACTATAATTAAACAGACAACGAATGGCAACTGCACATACAAATGCCATCTTATATTATTTATATTTTTATTTACTTACAAATACTTATTGTGCCTTATACAAATAATTGCTATGAATATTTACAATATTTGTATATTTAATATTATTAAATTATTAGAAGGGGTGTAGTTAATTCGTGCAAAAATGGTACATTTTTGTGAATTTTTTTTGACGACACAGTTAAAAATCTGTTTATTTAAACTAATAGTATGTTAAAGTATAACATTCATAGAATATTGTATCAAATTTGTATGTAGAAATATTAAAAAAATAAGGAAATGGCAGCAATTATTTGGAAACAGTAGAATTGCGGTTCCCATCCTAACTCAATGCTGGATCATAAGAAATAAAAAAATCAAAGTTCTCTAGTTGGCTAATCGTTTTTCCCAGATAAAGCTAGAAGGGTTTTTCAAAATTTTAATTTTTCATCTTTTGGGAACACTTTGAAGTAAAAAACGCGATTCTCAAAAAAATAGGCTAATTTGTTATTATAAAATAAAAAAATATTAACAAATTTGAAAAAACTCTCCAGCGTTACCTCGTAAATTATGTACAGAAATATTGTTCAAAATTTCAAAAAGATAGGTGCATTAGTTTTGAAGTAATGAGTAGCACCGTCTTTGGAAACGTGAGTTGTGGGAATAACGCTTTAAAGTTTTTGAACACTAAAAAATTTGGAATAAAACGTTCATAAGCCAGTTTTATCGTTTTATCTCACACTGAATCATCGATGCCAGGTCCATAAAGGACGCTGCTATCATTCATGATGTCTAAAGTATCTTTTTGCTCCTGTCTACACATCCTCATTCACGAGCGCTTGATCCACTACTGATTCCCATGTCTTGTATGTAGGTTAGTAAAGCAAAAGAACATGCCAGGCCAATGCTACACTAAATTATATACAGTACAGGTATAAACACGTTTGTACCTATGTTAAAATTTTTATAAAGAAAGATAGGAAGTAAGGTTAGGGATTATATAGAAAGCGAAACAGCTGTCAGGCAAGGGCGGCTCCGAGACGTATATTCGGTGGGGCCATTGCCTTTAGAAATTCTCTTTTTAGAATATTTTTTTGAATAAAAGGCTTATAACTCGTAAGAATTTTCATCTCGGAAGGGCCATGGCCCCATAGCCCCCACTTTTGAAGCCCGCCCTTGGTGCCAGGTAACAATAGCGCGCTCTGACCGGGCAGGTATTTTCTGATGCGCTGAGTCATGAGGCGCGGTTACTTAAACCGCTGTATATTTGTTATTTTTGCTCCGATTCATCTCAAATTTTCACGCAATATTCTTGAAAGGTTCTTCATTCACAAAATCAAATATAAAAAAAATTAAAAAAAAAATTAAAAACTTTACTCCCCCCTTAAGAGAATAAAAAGTATGCAATTAATTGTTTCTATTTATAAATTGTTAACACAAAGTACTCCCCATAAAGCAAAATTAATATTATTATTTTGAGTTTTTATATATTTTAAATGTCAAATTATTTCATAACATTTTTTCTAAAAATTTCAGGCAACTGATGATGGTATAAACTACGAAGAATTCAGTAAACTGGACATATCGAAAGAGCAACTAAAAAGTGAGATCATACTTATTAAATTTCGTTTTGAATATTTAAATACCTGTATATTTTTGTAGTGTTAAAACAAATTTTTGATTCTTTTGATTTGGAGAAGAAAAAAGAAATTTCCGTTGATATGATTGGTCAAATTTTGGATATGTTGGGCCACAGGCTTCTGCCTGAAGAATTAACTGTAAGTCAAAAAATTTAGTAACAATGTTTATTTTTTTTCTAATCATATATTATATGTGATATTTACTGATATAACAACTTAAACAAAAATAAAAAATGAGAATAATGAGTAATACTGGATCTGCTAAATTAGGTACGTTTGAAGTTCCTTTTCACTAGTATACATTTAACTATCTATACCTACTAATTTTAATGTAAACCCAAATATAAAATGCTCTGCTTTTCCCATTATATTGTTAACCTGTACTCTGAACTAGCCTGCGGCTATTCTAGGAAACGTACAAAAGAAGAAATACACCCTACAGTGTGTTGCAGTCGTCGTAAGAAAAAGTACGAATAAAGGAAGAAAAAAGAACAGTCTAGAAATGTCTAGAAATGTCTAGAAATGTCTTGAAATGTCATTCTGTGTCAAGAAGCATCTAGAAGATTTGATGATCTTAATATCACAGTTCAGTTTTATGATAGACGTTGTATGTTATTGTTAATAGGTGTATATTGTATAAGTTGAGTTTATAATTAGTTTATCGAAAGCCAGTTTTTTCCAGTATATAATTTAGGCAGGTGATGTAAGGCCAATAAGACACCCACCTAGAATACTACCATTTGCTGAACAGAAAGAATTAGCAAATATGACACATGACATGATAGATGCAAATATTATTGAAGATGCTTCTGGTTCCTGGTGCTTACCTATGGGCCTAGTAACTAAGAAAGATGAATCTACTCGTTTCTGCGTACTTTTTTTGATATATTTCTATTATTTATAATTAAACAAATTTTTCGTTGGGCATACTCGGAGCAACTTTATAGTTTTGTACTTTTTCTTTTATTTATTTCTGTTATTTATTATTGAAGTAGAAAATTCTCCTTGGGTTGTTCTATCTTTCTTAAAGAACTCAGAGAATCGGTTGTTTTTAGAGATTTTGAGATATTGGTTTGGTATTTTATACCTGCCGTGTTTTAGAGCATGTGAAATAGCATATAGCTTTCCGATATGGACACTGTTTTCGCTAGAAAGTTTGAATTGGATTAAAAAGCTTGAAGTGACTATTGCTGTCCCTAAATTTGTTAAAGATTTTCAAGGCAGCACTGTAAGTATAGGTGAATCATTTTATGGACCAAGTTTAAGAACCGAGTTTTTGTACTTACTAAATAGAAAAATTAAAATTGGATTTTGTTAGCTATTTGTCCCACTATTTCATAGAGAGTGGTTTTGAATTACATTCAACAAATTACATTCATCGTTATACTCAGCATTGCATTCAATATGCATTCAGCCTTCATTCCTAAATTTCCATGTTACTCCTAGAATCATCCCTGTAACATGCATTATCTTGGCCAATAAAGAAGTTCTCCGACAAATAAATACGTCACAAGCGTCATCCACTCCTCATTGGTTAATGACATAAGCGTCATTTACTCCTTATTGGGTAAACAAAAATACGTCTGCCTCAATCTCGCTTAACGACTCATCTCCTTCCCCGAAACAGAGCTTCAGGTACCGTCAGTAACAAGACAAGCGTTTGCTTTGATGAAAAGGGACTCTGTGCACGCCATTATATAACATCTGTTTCTATAAGGGTGGGTTAAACCACGGCACTTAGCCCTCACTAGGCCCATTGTGCATCCTCTTAAGACGATAGGCACCTCCTAGCTTGTGAGCCAGCCTACATATTTATTGTATTTGGCAACGTCGCCAAGAGGTGCTCTTTTATCGGCCGGTGTTAGCCAATTCTCGCCAAACAAATTTTTTAATAAATGAAAGCGTCTTGTTTGCAAGCCATGTATAGAGTGCGAATTCTGAATAATTTGAAGATTGGTTACAAACTAAACTTTTGCCAAATATTCCACCTAACAGTGTTATCGTCATGGATAATGCCAGCTACCATAGTCGAAGACTAGATAAGACACCTTGTTCAAACGACATAAAAGCCATCATACAAGATTACATGGTAAACAATGATTTGTACTTTGAGGAAAATTACACAAAAAAGCAGTTACTGAAAGTTTTAAAAGCTATTCAATACAAAAGAAATATGTTTGTGACACATTAGCTGAGAGCTTGGGACATACGGTGCTCAGCCTTCCTCCTTACCAGTGTATGTTTAACCCAATTGAACATATATGGTGTCAGCTTAAGTCAGCAGTTCGAAGAAATAATACTTCTTCAACCTTAAGTTCGACTGTGGTAGCTCCCATTCAAACAGAAGCTGCAAAAATTCCTGATTGCAGCTGGACCAAGTATGTTTCCAATATAAAAAAAGGTGGAAAAAAAATATATTGATATAGAAAAAATACTAAAAGAAAGGTTCATTATTAATTTGGATAACGATAGTGAAAGTGAAACTAAACTTCGTGAGCAATTTTGTTTAAATTTGTTTAAATAAATAAAATATTAGAAAATGAACTGTAAAACTTCCGCTATATTAACAAAAATACTTATCTGAGTAATTCAAAATCGACAATTGTTTCAGAAGCATAAACTTCTATCGTCAGGATTGACAATAGTGGAATTTTTACATTTCATTTTTTAATAATTTATTTATTATGAATAGATTAGGTAGGTAGGTACGTCTCTGCGTAGAGATGGCCGCCTGCTGATAAGTAAATTACCTGTTGTTTTATGATGGTCACTAGATCTCTGGTTTAACTTATACCTGCAAGTTTTTTTACTTGGCGTATGAACTTCAGGCTTTTTTCCAATTTATTAAAATTATCATCTTAAAACTTCATAATTTGTAATTTACAATAACTTTTAGGGTATATTTAATATTTTTTATTGTTTTTAGGAAATTGTTAAAGAAATTGACGCTGACGGTAACGGGGTCATGAACTTTGAAGAATTTGCTCATCTAGCAGCTAGATTCCTAATTGAGGAAGAGGAAGACACAGAAGCAATTTTAAGAGAATTGAAAGATGCCTTTAGGTTATATGATAAAGAAGGTTACTATACTTATTATTTATGATTCATTTATAGAGAGTATTATTAAGGAATTTTTTTATATTAATCGTAGATAAGGGCCACCAAGGTTTTTCTAAATAGCCTTTATATTATAATGATCATCGCATTATGTATTTATTTGACTCATCAATTTGTTTATTTTAGTTATTATACTCTAAACATCATTAGGCAATTGAAAGAACATATAACTAACAGGGGATAATAAATATCCCATTTTAGACTATTCTGACGAAGATCTAAAAAAATTGGAAAGAATGATCAATGATATTGGCAATAAATGAGACGATTAAAAAAAATATAAATTCTTATATACGAGTAGCTTTACCATTTATTGAAGACACAATAGAAAGCACAAATTCATTTTACCGTCAATTACATAAATATGACTGATAGAAAGAATTGATAACGCAACGTTTTTCCATAAATATTAGATTTCTATTATGGGCCGCCAGCCAATAGTCCCCTTCAATTAAAGTTGTTTTTATAACTATCCATAACAACTACCATTTTAAATAAATAAATATCTGCAAAAGTTACTAGAACGGGAGAAATATTTTTTTATTATTAATTATTAAGTTTAATTCTATTCGAAATAAATGTATTTTATGACTTAATGACAAAAGAGCGGAGGAAAAAATTGTGCAGGACAGAATATGGCAGAGAAAATTGCGCAAGGACAAAATAGCGCAGGACCAAATAGCGCAGGATAAAATGGCGCAAAACAAAATGACACAGGAATAATATAGCGCACAACGAATAGGATATGTTTTTTTTTTTAATTAATGAAATTCATTGAAATATTGCGTATCAAATACTGTTTCAACGACGCCTTTATAGATAATGTTTGAAGTGTAGCTCCAGTTTTTCACATTTTAGGATCCGAACCATTTTAGCGGGAAATAATTTCGTGCGGGACAAATTTGCTGCAACAAATTTGCGCCAAGACAAATGCATGAGAGACAAGTGAGCGCCTGATATAAATAAAGTGAGATCAGCTAACGATCAGTCTAATTATATTGAGTTAAGTTAGCGCATTTTCATAAAAAACTAAAACGAATTAACGCGTGATAAAATTAAAATTAAAAAAATTTAAAATAATTCACCTAACCTGTGCGGTCTGGAGCCATGTCGGCTTGCTGTAAATGACTCCAGGCCACACAGGTTTGGTAAATTAGTTTAGAATTTTTCTAATTTATGTAATTATTTTTCAAAGCAACTTGCGATGGCTTCAGACCGCCCAGGTTAGGTAAATTAGTTTAGGTTTTTTTTTTTAATTTTAATTGGAATATTGAAATATTTTGACACACGCTTTTATATTCTACTCTATTTTGGCCTTCGCTTTTACAAATGATCCAGTATTCTAATTTAAATGAAAAAAAAGCAAACCAATTTACCTAGCCTGGGCGGTCTGAAGCCATCGCATGTATCTTTAAAAAAAATGACATAAATCAGAAAAATAAAAAAAATTGTGACCAGTTTACCTTAGCTGTGCGGCCTGGAGCCATATACAAGAACCCGCCATGACTCCAGGCCTCACAAATTGGGTAAATTAGTTTAACTTTTTTTTTAATTTTAATTAGAATATTAGAATGTTTTTACACGCGCTTTTATGTCCTTCGTTATTTTGTCCTGCGCTATTTTATTTTGCGCTATTTTGTACTTTCGCTATTGTGTCTTGCGCTATTTTGTCTATGTGCTATTTTGTCGTGCGCTATTTTGTCTGCACTATTTTGTCTGCGCTATCTTGTCTTGCTCCATTGGTGTCCGCATTTTTGAAATCGATTTTAATAGTTAATTAAAGTAGAGCTTTGCTGACATGACATTCTCATTTTCCTTAATTTAATAAATAAGTAGTTTGTTTAATCGTTTGTCTATATCAATGTATCTCGAAGCACGTCTTTTTGGAGTTATATTGTTTTTGATTCTCTAATTCGTAATGTAATGAATTCTTTTTTAAAGCTTGAATTAACTATATTTAAATTGTGGCGTTCTCTGTGACAAATCCACATGTCCTGGATAGTTTCATTTGCTAACTACTGTGCTAAGAAATAGTCGTTATATTTGATGATTTTTTGATTAGCGGGATTACACTTTACTATATTTAACCAGCCCTCATCCGTAAATTCTAGATGTTAATTTGCTAAAGCAGCTACTGGCTTTATATGCCTTTTAATATCTGGATTTTCTCTACATTTTGTTGCAAGTCCCAAATCTTGAACATGTCATCATAATGATTGGTTGAAATGGAAATTAAAATAATTATATAAACTTATACAAAGCATCAAAGACTTTACCAAGCTGATACCTCAAAGGACCAATGGCATCAATTCTGTTCAACCATCTAGTATCAGAAAGTGGTTTTAAAGTTGAATTGGAAATATGTTCTCTTAAAACAGTCCAACGATTAGTTGAGGCCAAAAAAGTTCTTGAACTGTAGAAAAGAATTGTCAGTTAGAATTATTACTTTTTACTGCATCATTTGAAACCAACTGTGGTTATAACAAGGTACGAAAAATGATTTATATCGAGAATATTTTTTGTAAACCGGTATGCATGCCTCGCATGTTAGCACTATTATTTTATCTCAGGCCATTCATATCATATAAATTTAAATTGTTTTTTAAGCATCTGGTAGAATTTTTTTAAACTCTCAGCTGCTGTGCCTTCTATTGGAGCAAAAAGTAAGAAAAGTTCCTAAACAATGATTTTCCCTGCTATTAATTCTAAATTTACAAGCCTGATACGGCCAGAAATTTGTTCTTGATTGCTCATGTACGAAGTGAAATCAAGAATTACAAAACAATATTTTGAATGTTTAAAATCATTGCCTATTATTTTAATTATTTCATTTTGAATTTGGTTCCCAAGTTAATGATTTATTGTCTTGTTCTGCATTTGTACCATTTAAGTGTGTTCATCCATAATTAAATCGAATTTAGCAATTATTTCCACACATTTCAAAAAATAATCGTCATTATTTTAAAACAACTTCAAATTTAGACCACGAAAGGCCAGATTTTGGTAAGCCTAAATCTGAATAACAGATATATCGCTCCATAACTGCATGCCAATATTTAATTTCAGCATTAAACAAACATTTGTGATTAAAAAGGAAATACTTGTATTTCGTGCAAAATTTTCAATTATTAAATGCAAAGCGCTTTCACTTTGATGCCACTATCAGTGCTTACCTACAAAAATTGTGGATTTAAGCTTACAATCTATTAATACGTGTAAAAATCAAATCTGAGTAAGACTTTCAAGTCAAAAGTTAAAATATAAGGAAATTTTGAACAATTTAACAATTAAAAGAGAACATAGTGACATAACTCAATGTTAAGGATAGTGAGTGTAGGGTAAGCCTCTAAAAAATCATATCTGATCTTCAGAAGCAAGTTAGCTTATGTGGAACTAAGGAATTATACCACCTTCACTATTCGCATTGAGTACAATTGAAAATAAGTTAACAATATAATTAAAAAATTACAAATAGAGGATGACTGTTGAAAATATATTAAAATTTAAATTTAAAATGCAATAGTTAATATGAAAAAAGTCCGTGTCCGTACAATCATCCAATCCAATTATGCCTCGCTTGTACGGACTTCCAAAGATCCACAAGACGGACATACCTATTAGGCCAGTTGTAAGTTTCATCAACACTCCAGTTGCAAAAATCACCACTTTTATTTGCAACTTAATTCATGATCTCACACAATTCAAACCAGCCAACTCGGTAAGTAATATTAAAGAATTTTTTAATAAAATTAAAAATTTCAACATCCCTGACAACTGCACAATGGTTTCTTTCGATGTTAGCAACCTGTACACCTTGGTCCCAAGGTTTGAGAACATGCCTTTGGTTCAGGAGGTCTTGAGAAGTTCAAACGTTTCTGCCAATAACACAACTATCATTTTACAATTTATAAACCTGTGCTTATCACAAAATTATTTCACTTTTAACAACATCGCTGATATCTTCATGAACCATCTAGAAACAAGCAACATTATTCCACAACATAAGAATATTTTAATTTACCATAGATATGTGGATGACATCTTTTGCCTAATAAAAGGTGATGCCAACACGGCTTCTAACATTTTAAATTCAATTAATACTATCCATCACAATATAAAATTTACTCTGGAAGCCGAAAAAGAATGTTATTTATGCTTTTTGGACCTTTCTATCCACAGGCTGGGTAACAATTTTGAATTTAGCATATATAGAAAACCCACCCAAACAGGCCACATGATACACTATTCTTTAAATCACCCTTACCAACATAAAATATCTGCTTTCTATTGCTATATTCATAGACTTCTTTTAATCCCTCTAAATAAAACTAACTATCTTCAAGAATTAAATAAACTTAAACAAATTGCATTTAACGTGTATGACCCGGACATAATTCAATCTCTAATCACCAAAATTAAATTTAAGAAAATTTAAAAATTAGCCTAACCTAATTTAAGTCATAATAATAATTTTTACATATCAATCCCCTTCTGGGATAATAACTTAGCATCTCAAACATTTTTGCTAACGTAGATAACATTAAAGTCTCATTCAAATCAATTAACAAATTAGACTCTCATTTAGTCAACACCAAAGCAAAACAAATTTGTTAGACAAGAGTGGAGTATACAGGTTGAATGCAGCGATTGCGATGCCAGTTATATTGGCAAAACTTGCAGATCTTTGGGAGTCCGGATAGGCAAGCACATCAAGAAGCCGGACACATCTGCATTTGGACATCACTTGAGGCTCAATCAACATAATTTTAGCCTAACAAAAAACTCCAAATTATTAGTCAACTTGAACACAAAAAATTTTAACTTATTAGATTTCTTTGAATATGTTGAAATTACCCTTGAAAGAGATAACAATATCCTCTGTCTCAATACTCAAGTAAACCATAACAAAAATTTCATACCACTCCATAAACAACTCAGTTGACCCTCTATGATGATGTTAGTCCAAGTCGCTCAATATATGCCTTTGAGAGCCATCCACTCTTAAACTCGATTTTACCCAACAGAGCCTACCTTTGGAACCATGGTACTTGTATGATTTTTGTTTCCTTTTTTGTCTCACTCCAATTATGAGTACGCTTTTTAAGTGACTTGGAATTTTTAAGATTAAACATCAGATTCACCTCTAGGGACCGCGGCTTTAGTTGTGCCATCTTGGGTTCTCGGAAAGGAAAGGAGAACAAAAAAATTCTGCAGAGCCCGAACTGGTACAGCAGAATCACGTGAGTGACATTTTTGTTTTGCCTTGACATTAAAATAATAATTCATATTATACAATTAACAAATAAATCAAATTTCAAAAAAAAATTCTTTAAATTCAATACCAAAATTTTCATTTTCCACCTTCAATCACTCGAATCACACTTGAAGTAACTCATTCCACACTGAGGTGAACGCACATCCTCTCTTGACATTTGACCTGTCAACGTCTTTAAGTGTCGCTTGTCACCACTGTCACCTGGAAACAGTTGGTCAAAAAATAAAAATGAAGGTGTAACCAATTAAAATTTTAAAATATTATTAATAGTAAAAAATTATAATTTAGCAAGTTGTGACTCTACAGAAATATTTATATTTTGGAGTAAGGATGACAAAGAACTTGGTGGATATGCTTGTTTGTGGACAGTAGGTAGACTTTTTCACAATTTTAATATAAATATGTAAAAAAAAACTAAGTTTTTTTTTTGGCCTTTTGCCTTTAACCTTTTTCATATTAACTATTGTATTCTAAACTTAAATTTCAATATATTTTCCACAGTCTTCCTCTATTTGTAAGTTTTTAATTAATTTGTTGACTTGTTTTCAATTGTACTCAATGCGAATAGTGAAGTTGGTATAATTCCTTAGTTCCACACAAGCTAACTTGCTTCTGGAGATCAGATATGATTTTTTAGGGGCTTATCCCACACCCACTATCCCCAACACTGGGTTATGTCACTCTGTTAATTCTCTTTTAATTGTTAAATTGTTTAAATTTACCTTATCTTTTAACTTTATTTTTTACACATATTTATAGATTGTAAGTTTACATCCACAATTTTTGTAGATAAGCCTGATGATGGCACATGCCGAAAGCTCTTTGCATTTAATAATTAAAAATTTTGCACGAAATACAAGTCTTTCCTTTTTAATCTAAACTACGTGCACACAGCCGTCAACCTTTTTTTGGTTATTTTAAATATTTATGAGTTAGATCGTATTGCTTGTTTCAAATCTTAAACTTTTGTCGTGAATATTTGAGGGTTCACTCAAATGTTACCAATCATTGTAGCTATTTTTAATCGGGCCTTTGCAGTGTTAAATGTTGTACAACAAAACCAAAACACTGAATTTTTCGCTATCGAGTCAATCACGCCTCATTTTGCAAAATTCAGATGAAGTATGATTCAGAAAATTTTCGCCCATTTTTGTATTTTGCAAAAACGCAATTTGAATTGTTATAATAGGTTGGAACATTTTTGTCAGAAGTTCAATCTTTATTAGAGAAAATATTTTCGGCCACAAACCTGTATCTTTGGACAGTTGTACAGTCTTACTATCAAAAAGTTCATCAGCTTCAATAAGAATTACTTACAGTTTCCTTAACTAAACATGTTGATGTAGATAGTTTCTTATTACCATCAATATCATTTTTTAGCAAAGCCTTGAAGTAGAAGCAATGGGTTCTTTAAAAAACTAAGTTATTTTCTTATTGGTATTTTCCGATAAGATTTTGGTAACCAGAAAGCTTCTTTTTAGCTTCTGTAGATATCTAAAAAAATCATACAACATGACATTTTCTGTTTAGGGTTTGTTGAATCTAATTAATTTATAATTACAAATTATTTCGACCTACATAATAATACCTCAACTAATTTTATACTTATACTTTATGTTATATTATCTTATAACTTAGGCTAATTATTGGAACTAACACTTTTAGCTTTCATAAAAAGAACAAAATTTCAGATAGGGATATCTTTTTTAACTCATGCGATTTGCTTTACTTCTCAAGACAAAAGCCAATGCACTAATGTTAATAAATTCTTATTAAATAACTGCAGTTCTATTGCTAGAGACCAGACGACAGAAATAAACTTGTGAAAAACAGTAAAGAAGAAATATAGTGAGGAGGCACTGTGTTTAGTAATAAAATAAAATACGCAATAGGCTGGGGCCAAGCAACTCTATAGATGTTTGTCTCTATGGATAATCAAATAAATAATACATTTAATAAATTATTTATTTAGATAGTATTGCCTACTTGTGCTTAATCTTAACTTTAGCATACACAGCTCAAAAAGGCCTAATCCTTCTAACTAGTATTTTAGACATTGATTACAATATAAAAATCACTTAGTTACCTCTTGCTTGCATTACATTTTTTGATTACGATTGTATGGTCAACGTAGAAAGCGCTAAAAAATCTAAAAACACAAGTGTAATTAGTAAAACACCAGGTATCTGGTTTTATTGAACAAATATGTGAGAATATTTGGACGAGGCAATTTTTTTTTAAATTGGTTTATTTTTTTATGTAGTCCTTACTATTCAAGGTATGACGTCATTGCTAGTTTTTTATTTTGATAGTTCCAGTTAAAAAAAACATTTTTTGCGTATGGTGATCAAATTTCTTAGTGTGTTAAATAAGGAAATATTAGTACAAAACGTTATTAAGGATTCCTAATAAAAACTGCTCTTTTATTTGGTACTGCCAAAAAATTCTTGAGTTTTTTTATTTAAATGTACAACTTTTATATACGTCTTTTTATAACGTCATCACTATTCGAGATATAACGTCGATAGTTTTTTATGGCATGACTCCAAAAGTGATGATGTCATCAAAAAATATTGATATATCAAACAAAAATCTGGTATTTAACCAATTAGATCCAACCGTATACATGGAGTGTAATGTGTAAGACATAACAAATGAAAAAATTGACAAAACGTATAAAACATTCTGTAGCTTTCTGCACGGTAAATTCTAAGTTATTTTTTTTATCTGTATAGAGGCGAGATTAAATTAAACAAGTTTTTCAAATAGCCTTTCCAAAACATTCCAAATTTATTTATTTCTAAATGTAGTTAATACGGTCCTGTTTCATTTCTTATATCTTCCTCGATAATATTCAAAATGTGTTCTTTTAAAAGCATTTGATGTCTTTTTAATCTTTCTACATGATTCCGCAAATCACCTGGGCTTACAAGGGAAAGCGCTCACTTGTATAACACCAATGCAGCAGTTGAACTTTGAAAACACTCGCCAGAAATATGCAACATGTTATTCTCATCATTTACAAAAATTAACAATTTAAATATACTGATTCACATAAACACGCTACTAAAACCACACGCGAATATATTACAATAACTGGTACAAGTGAATCATAAGAAAAACCGAAAAAAGACAAAAACATAAACAGATTTATCATATGGATTAACTTTTCGTACACAATTCCAGACCCAGATTTGAATTTTTTAATTCTGTATTTTTCTTATTTTTGAGTTTTTTGAAAAAGACTATTTGATAATAACATCTATTTTAACGGCTTCTTTACTCAGTTAAAAGAAAGTAATAAGTTGGGATTCGCCCTGTAAAGATTCGAAGCCTCATTGAATAGGGGTTATTTATACACCTACGTGGTCATTATCTATCCAAACCTATATGCATTTTTCCAGTAACACTCTCTGATGAATTATTGTTTACTTTTTTACAGGCCTGGGTTATATATCTGTAGATCTATTAAAAGACATATTGAAAGAACTTGAACCTAATTTATCACCTGCAGATTTAAATGAAATGATCAAGGAAATTGATACTGATAATTCTGGAACTGTTGACTGGGAAGGTAGTAATCTTTTCTTTAAACTTTATTGCCAGATACATTTTCATTAAAATATTCTATAAATAGTATGTTCTCAATTAGAGTTAACAAGTGAAAAAACTTAACTTTATTACTGATTTTACGATGAACAGTTAAAATTAATATTTTTTTTTTTTTAGAATTTAAAGCCATGATGATTGGATAAAAATCTACTAAACTAAAAGCAAAAAAATAGGTAATTAGAATAAATTCACAGCAAAATATTTTTGTAAACATTACATTAGTATGCGAGTTTACCACTTTAATTAAAGAATATCAAATATTGTGTAAAAAAATTTGGAATTGTAATATTTTGTAAATAAACTATTTATTTTTCTTTTAAATTAATTTTAAATAATTAATAAATATATTCATAATTATGGGTACCAGTTACCATTTCGTCAAATCGAATGCACCTGATTATATGGGTCCTTTCTAAATTTTGGTGAAATTAAAATACATTTTTTTTGCCAAAATTTTAACACATTTAGTCACTATTATTTTGAAAAATGGATCATCATTTCAGTAACAGCTTGAAATAATTACTTTCTGGCAAATATAATCAAGAAATATCAAAGTAGTTACAACTGTCGTTACAACTACCTACCTACTAGAAGAAAGCTTTACAAAGGAAAAAATATATTTTTTTTTCTACGATTCCTTATGAAAAGTATCCTTCGTATACTGTAATGGGCCATTTTCAATTCGGCCATGGAAGTATTCAAAAAAATGAAGTAAATCCAACAGTAAAAAAACGTATCACAATCCCCAATGATTTAGCTGATACTCGCTTGAAAAAATTTATATTGTAAGTTAAGTGTACACTAAGAAAATTAGGCTTATACAAGTATCTACTTAAAATTTTTGACTTGTCATTATTCAATATCTAACAATAGCAAGTTTTTAAAAAACCTGCCATTATTTTATTAATCTTTCTGTGGCCATTGTATTACCCTTATTAGATAAACATTTATCTTTAGTTTACAATTATTTAGCAGTTATTCAATCAATTTGCTAATCATTCAGGAATAACCGTTAGTTTGGCATTGACTAAAAATAATTCTAATAAACACTTGCAGTTATCCTTTAAATTGTTATACCGCCATCTACTAGTAGTAATAATAACATAGAATTAAGCTTATTTTTTTAACTACTATTGGTATCTTCTATACTAATTGTCGGGCTCTAAGCAACGTTGCCACATATTTAGTTAAATATTATAAGATGACTAAATAAACCATAGAATGTTGTATACCATATTAAATAATAATATATTTCCAAAGAGAATGCACTTCCACATGAAGTATCTAATAATTATAAACTAAAAATGCTGATTTCAAAAAGACATGAACCCATCAACAGAAAATAATCTCCGCAAGAAGTCCTACTACTAAAGTCTATTTAAATTTAATTTACGCCAGATGTAAACAGAAGCAGGTGGACGCTAAAATTGAGCAGGGCCGTATTTTACTTTTCCGTCTTGCAAAAATGTAAAATAAAAGAGTGTAATTGTGAAATTATTTTTTTATCACGATAAAAACATATTTTGTAAAGTAAAACTATAAAATAAATGCCATACACGGTCTCCCAGACTTTAGTGACATTTCTAGACGAAGATAGGTGAGCGACATAAACTGCGTTAACCTGCAATACAAATTAATAAATGTATTTGACTTTAAAAGAGAAGGTTGCATTATATTTAGTTCATTATATATGTCTACTGTGATACAGGGCATTAAAAAAATCATATTATAAAATTATATTGTACAGGATAGGGTGTCCAAATAATTGCAAATTCTTTAATAGCTAATATATATCTACTAAAAGCATTAAAAAAAACTTTAAATATTAGAGGTATTTGGTATTTGAATTTGGTATTTGATTTAAAATTGTGCATTTTAAAAAGAAACCTTTCGTATTTTTGAAAACTTTTGTTCTTTATTGTTCTTCTTCTACTAGTATTTAGATTAGACAACTTGTACCCTGTATTATAGTAGTCTTCCTTACTTGACTTAGCACTATTCTGAATCAGATAAATTAGTTAGACTTGAAAGGCTATCTTCTTTAATCAAAATTACAAGTGGTTCTACCTGAACCTCTATAATATTATCCAACTCTCACATTTTTACTTCAACTTTTTGGCGAACATGGTCGATACACTTTTTCCATTTTTCTGGACAAATTAATAATATTACTTCTTCAAAAAGAATTTTAATGTCTCCAGATTTAAATGTTGAGTTTTTATCTGCTACGTATTGTTTAACGTCAACCTAGATTAATTTAATAGGGTTAAGTTCACAATGATACGGAGACATGTGAAGTATTATGTTGTTTTGCTGCTTAGCCATTTCATCTATTACATACCTATCATAATGTTTATGTTGCTTACCAAGTTATAGAAGTTGGATCTTAAGCATTTGGTAGTCGAATTCAATTTTTTTCCCTTATAGCAATTTTTAAATATCACCTTTTTTAGACGTCGTAGATATTTTTTCCAGCTTTCTCGAATAATAATGCAGTTATCTTCTAATTTTGGTAGGGTGTTTGAAAACCACTCTTTGAACGATTCTCCACACATTTCTTCATGGTAGTCACCGGATTTTTTAACTCAAATACATAAAGTGCATTAGAGACAAAGCCTTCTTCACTTCCAATATGGCATATAATGAGCTGTTTTTACGCACATACCTGCTGATGGGTTTTTAAAACCAGTTAAAAGTTCATCCAAAAAGGCTTCTCTGGATGAAAAAACCGACATATCGAAACATACTTTTGATTTGGTGTGGCCTGCGTTAATTCAAGTCTCATCAAGATAATATATTTTTTGCTTTTCTTCTCTGTACCGTTTTATTTTTTGTGACGTAGGACGAAACAATTTCATTTTTGTCTAAAAGCAAACTATTTTTTCCTCGAGTTTTAAAATTACAATTAAGGGTTTTGAAAAGCTTGTAAAATGTAGCTCGCTTAAAAGTAGACAAATATGGATCATCGTTGACTTCTTATAAAACCTTATCAATTGTTGGAAGTTAATTTCTAAAGAAGAATTGATGTACTTTGCGCCTTATTGCATTTTTATCAAAATCATCCACGGAGCCACTAATTTGTTTATAACGTACCTTTCTTTTTGGTTTAGAAAATTTTTGAATCTGCCTATACTTCTTCATAACATTAAAAACGGTTTTAGCGCACATCCCTGTTTTATCAGCAACTCTCCTTTCAACATCATGTACCAACATATCAGGGTTCTATAAAATGTAATGCTTATAAATATTAAGAACCATTTCTTTAGTACGGATGACCAAATGTCCCTTTTTCAGTCGCTTTTTAGAAGGAGTAAAAACATTTTTCTGGACTTCATCTGCTGTATCTGTGGAGGACATAGTGTCACGCAGCAATTACAAAATATAGTCAATTAAATGTCCATAAAATAGAGTGAAACATGTTCAAACTAACAACAACCACAAAAACAAACAAAAATAAATAACACAATATATGTATATCTAAACTATAATATAATGAATTATAATCAATCAAACATACAAAATGTCAAAATTAACCAACACGGTGAATGCTACCACAACGCCGTTTATAATTATCCAAATTGAACTGAATTCGACTCTGACAAAAAATATTTGCGCATCATCTAAATGACTAACGAACGATTAACCAATAGAAGCGCAAAAAAATGTCACGTGAGCTGTTGCTGGATGGGAGAAATTGTTTTGACGCGGCGTAAATGAAATCTGAATAGACTTTAGTACCTGTATTATGGTTACTAAATTGCCACCAACATAGAAAAGTATGTTCGTATTTCATAGGTAATTTGATGTGTTTTGTTTGACATAGGTGCATTTTTAACTGTATTTTATTGTATCTAAAAAATTATCTTTTTCTATTGCAATTTATTTTTTACTACACTTTATTTGTTACTTTGCAAATTTTATAACCGGCAACGTTGGAAATTCTGATGTTTCCCGCCGGCCAAGGAGGAAAAGAAACAGAGTTATGGCCTTGATGTATAGACAAAATAAATAGAGATAGGAGAAGAGACGCCAAAGTTGGTTATACAGGGCGTTTCAGATTTAAACGGACACAGCTTAATGGGAGGTAGAGTACACTTAGATAAGTTCAAAACAAAGATATCGGATAATAGATACGCCTTGTATACATTACACTTGTCCGCAACTTTTTTTTGACGGTACGCTCTTCCTATGTTGTCAGATCTCTTTCATCAAATATCAAACATTAAATTTTTATTTAAAAAGTTACTAGTACCTTTAATACAATCTAATAAAAAAAGGAAATAAAGAATTGAAAGCATCAATATGAGTTTTTTATTAAGTGAAATTACTTAAGACTTTTAAGTAGCCATTTTTACATGTGTATCATATGGGAATATTAAACATTTTGGTATAAATCATTTAACTTTGGCAACCTAAGACATTTTGCTGATGTTGTCAAAATGACAGATCAAGTTTTATTGTGATTTTTGTGGTTTTTTTGTAGTTTTCAAGAATAATTTAAACCCTGAACTTTTTATTAAGGACTTTTACGATGGGGAGGAAATGTATAGTGTGCCGAAATACGCAGAATAAGAATGTTGTTCGGTCATTTCATAAATAAGATTATGTTAGCATAGACGTAGGCATATACAGGGAATAAGGCATAATTTATTTAACAGTGTAAAGGCATTTAGCACTAGCATTGTTTATTTAAATAATAATGTTCTATATTTTCTGATCAGGTTTCCTAAAGATATTATTCAACGTAGAATTTGTCTGCAAAATCTATGCTTGGTGGAGGAAAACATTATGAAAATGAAAGAAGCCTTAGTATATGTTCTGACCATTTTTGTATGGCAGATATTTATGAAAATTTAAGTGGTAGACACATCTTAAAACATAATGATATACCTATCAAGTAAGTACAGTATTTATTATAAGTATTTTTATTATATGTAAGCTCTAAAATTATACAGTAATCATCACATTTTACAGAATTTTGGGAGAGGTAGTTGAATAGGCGAAAAATAAAGAAAAAAAAATACTTTTTCCACACCCGTATTATAATAATGCACTTATATGCCCATAATCCGTTTCATAATGATACCCATTATGATACAGATTTTTCATTACGATACAGATTTTTAATCAATAGAAACCTACTATTTTTCAATCAAGCATGCTGTTTGACGTTTGTCCTAGGTTTCTATGTAATTGTTTTAGTTGTCAAAACGTATTAAATTTTCGTAGATAGCTAAACTTCGATAATTATAATATTAAAATGTCTCATATCAGCGATATAGAAGACTCTTCCACACATATCGGAGAAAGCAGAAAATACAGTA